ACACAAGATACATCCGTCAAGAATAATAAGGTACAACACTTAATGATACTCATAGGGTACAAATAAGCAATCAGGAAACAAACAATACAGTAAATCGTAAGGATACAAGCCACAAATTTATAGTCCTGCAGTCATAAGTGGGAGGAGATGGGGGATAGGAACGATGAGAAGATTAATAGTAATAGTAATGCAGCCTTAGTGGGGAAGGACAAGGGGGGGGGGACAGGGCAGCAGTGTTCCAATATCTCAGGGGTTGCCCCAAAGAAGAGGGAGTCAAGCTATTCTCCAAAGCCCTTGAAGGCAGGACAAGAAGCAATGGGTGGAAACTAATCAAGGAGAGAAGCAACTTAGAATTAAGGAGAAATTTCCTGACAGTGAGAACAATTAATCAGTGGAACAGAAGTTGCCTCCAGAAGTTGTGAATTTCCCAACACTGGAAGTCTTTAAGAAGATGTTGGATAGCCATTTGTCCAGAATGTTGTAGTCTCCTGTTTCAGCGGGGGTTGGACTAGAAGACCTCCAAGGTCCCTTCCAACTGTTATTCAGTATTCTGTAAAGTTGCCAAAGGTTAAGAAGCATTGCTCTTTGGATAGTATAGCTGAAGTAGGGATAATCCGAACCTATGTCTTGAGGGAGCCCCTAAGAGAGGACTAGAACTCACAGTCTCCCAGTTCCTTACTCCCCGTCACCTTGCCCGCTGCACCAAACTGGCCGTTTTTGGTGAGAGTAGAATAGGGTGGCATGGAGAGAATCTGCCAATCCAGCCACTAGATGGCAGTAGAGGTCAAAGAAAAGGAAATTGTGCTTTTTTTTCCTCCCTCCTGCATGAAAAAACTTTGTCAACCTTATTTACTTATACTTATATTTATTAAATTAATATGCTGCCCATCTCGCTGATGCAGCAACTTTGGGAAGGTTACAATATAATGAAAAGGCAATAAAAGGTCATTTATTTAAGGAGTGGTGATGACTGCACTGAAAATAGTGCAACTAATCCTCGCACTTACGACCGACACAGCATCCGAGAATTTAGGCCCTTGTTG